TCATATATTAGATGAAGTAGGATTGTTAAAATGTCTATACTGCCCCAAGAATATACAGATTCAATGCAATCACTATTAAAATTCCAATGACATTATTCACATAAATGAACAATACAATCCTAATGTTTTTAAGGAACCACAGAAAAACCCAAACAGCCAAAGCTATACTAAGAAAGAAAAATAAAGTTGGAGGCATCACACTTCCTGAATTAAAATTATACCCCAAAGCTATAGTAATCAAAACAGTATGGTATTGGCATAAAACAGAAACAGACCAATGGAACATAATAGAGAGCTCAGAAATAAATATAAATATATACAGTCAATGAATTTTTGACAAGTTTACCAAGAAGATACAATGGGGAAAGAATAGTCTCTTTAATAAATGGTTCTGGGAAAGTTGAATTTCCACATGCAAAAGAATAAAATTGAACCCTTATGCCATACACAAAAACCAACTGAAAGTGGATGAAAAACATACAAGTAAGATCTAAAAGCATAAAAATCCTAGAAGTGAACATAAAAATAAAACACCTGGACATTGACTGCCCTTGGCAATGATTTTTTAAAAACATACTAAAAGCTCAGGCTACAAAATAAAAAATAACTAAATGGGACTATGTGAAACTAAAAAAGCTGAACAGCAAAGGAAACAACACAATGAAAGGGCAACCAATGGAATGGAGAAAATATATGCAAATTATGTATCTGATAGAGTTAAGTATTTTAAAGTTATAAATAAAACACAAGTCAATGGCAGAAAGACAAATAACCTAATTTAAAAATAAACAAAGGACTTAAACAGACATTTATCCAAAGAATATATAAAAATGGCCAATAGGTATATGAAAGTGTGCTCAACATAAATAATCACCTCAGAAATGCAAAGTGAAACCACTATGAGATAATACTTCATATCCATTAGGATGACTATTATCAAAAAGCCGAGAGACAACAAATGTTGGCAATGATGTAGAGAAAAGCACACTGTGGGTGAAAATGTACAGTGGTGCAGTCATTATGGAAAACAGTATGGAGGTTCCTAAATAAATTATAGAACTACCATATGATCTCACAATCCCTCCTCTGGGCATATACTCAAAGGGAATGAAATCATTACCTCATAAAGATATCTGTACTCTCATATTCACAGTGATATTTTTCACAATACCCAAAATATGGATACAACCTACATGTAGATGGACAAATGGATAAAGAAAATGTGGAATATGTATATATGTGTTTATGTATGTATGCATATATATAACATATTTAATATATATTATATACATATGTGTGTATGTATATGTGTGTGTGTGTGTATGTATATGTATATAAAGAAAGAATGGAATATTAGCCCAAAAAAAGAATGGCATCCTGCTATTCAGTACAACATGGACGGACAAGAAGGGCATTTTGTTAAGCAAATAAGCCAGATACAGAAAGAAAAATATTGCATATTTTTTTAAGAAGGTCAAATGTACAGAGTATAAAATAGTGGTTACAGGAGTCAGGTTGGGGTATGAAATGGGAAAGTATAGGTCAAAGGATACAAAGTAGCAGATATATAGGATGAACAAGTCGAGATTTAATGTACAATAGAACACTGTAGTTAATAAAATTACATTAGAGATTTTAAAGTAGATTTTAGCTGCTCTTATCAAAAAGCAGCCATGTGCGATGATAAATATGCTACTTTGCTTTCTTCTAGTAATCATTTTGCTATGTATATTTCATAAAATCATACTGTAAACTTCAAATATACACAATAAAACTTAGCTTTAAAAAAAGCTATTGTGGCCAGGTGCAGTGGCTCATGCCTATAATCCCAACACTTTGGGAGGCCAAGGCGGCTGGTAATCACCTGCGGTCAGGAGTCCAAGACCAGACTGGCCAGCGAAACCCTATCTCTACTAAAAATACAAAAATTAGCCGGGTGTGATGGCACATGCCTGTAACCCCAGCTACTTGGGAGGTTGAGGCAGGAGAATCACTTGAACCCAGGGGAAGAGTTTGCAGTGAGCTGGGATCATGCTACTTCACTCCAGCCTGGGCAAAAGAGTGAAATTCCATCAAAAAAAAAAAAAAAAAAAAAAGTAGCCATTGTTTCACATAGCTTTAAGCCAATGTAGGTTTCTAAAGTCTCTTTAAAAAGATTATATAGCTGGCTATGAGAGTTGGCTCTACCTAACTACTAAGTGTATCATGCAGAAAAATATATAAATACATCTCCTTCCTCTTTCTAGTATTATTCACATGATCAAAAAATAACAAATATTTTCAAGATACTTTCCTACTATGACAAACTTCCTAGGTGATAACTTCATTAATCAGGTCTGTATCTTGAAAAACAGTTTCGAGATTTCATAGAAAGCTCCAATTGTAAAACACCTATTTTATTTTTGTCCTTGAGATTTTATTTTATTTTATTTTTGAGACGAAGTCTCACGCTGTTGCCCAGGCTGTATTCCAGTGGCACAATCTCGGCTTACTGCAATCTCCGCCTCCTGGCTTTAAGCAATTCTCCTGCCTCAGCCTCCTGAGTAGCTGGGACCACAGGTGTGCACCATCATGCCCATCTAATTTTTTTGTATTTTTAGTAGAGACAGGGTTTCGACATGTTGGTCAGGATGGTCTCAACCTCCTGACCTCGTGATCTGCCCACCTCAGTCTCCCAAAGCGCTGGGATTACAGGCATGACTCACTGCACCCAGACAAAATTTTATTTTCATTTCTAATATAAGTTAAACAGGAAAATCTGGAACTCCCAAGAATTTGAATTTCGATTGAGACAATGAATGTAACATTTCTATAGTAATCAAAGATGTATGAGAGGTTGCATACAGACCTTGCTTTAGGGAAGAAGTGTTGTGAGGAGGAAAATGATGTTACACTCTCTTCTGTAGAGTTTTGAATGAAGGACTGCAGTTGCCACGGAGGCTAAATCTCAGAAGGAATGATCAGGTTCTTTTAGAAGCTGCTTCTGTTTTTCAGCCAAGACCATCTGCTGACATCCCCAAACCCCAGTAGCTGACTGCAATGCCAGTCAAGACGTGAAAGACTGTTAACATTTGCTGTCTCCATTTCTTCTCCCTCTACCAGGACTAAATCTGGGGCAGGTGTGGACAGGGAAGCAGAAAAATCTTGTTGAAAGCTGTGAATTATCTTGATTCTGGGCTGAGCATATGAGTGTCTTAGAGGAGCCCCTTTCTTTCCTGAGGCTTTCCAAGTGGGATGAAGAGATTCTGATATGAACCAAACAGGCTGCAGTGAATCTGCATGGCTGGGAGTAATGCCAGAAATTTCAAGCTCAGATTGAAATCTTTGTTTGTAATAGTTTTCTTTCCTTGTGAGCCAATTTCCTCTTAATTAATCAAGAGGGATTTTTTTTCTCAGCATTTCTGGCTCTCAGTAAATGTTATCAGATGTGGTTGAACTCTGGAAACACCTCTGACAGATTTGTAGATCAAGTATTAAATCACTTCCCAATTTTTTTTAATCCTAAGAGGTAAATAACCCACATGATGAAAAACTATCAAATAGTTTTTTCGAAAATAAATGTCTACCTGAAATAATTAACGTTTATACCCTTCTGTGCTCTTAAACAGCAGTTTTCAATCAGTATGGTTAACTGCATGCAAGACTGCAGGAAAGGAAATAGTTTAAAGCCAACAGAACTGTTGAATGAAAAACGTTCTGTCTTACTTTAAGAAATTTTTCATTGCTGAGCCCTGGACATTTTTATCTGGTTTAATACACTGCAGAGATGTTTCTTTTTCTGTCCACATTCTTGTCTTTCCAGTACTTTTAAAAAATATTACCTTTCAGTCTCTGGAGTTTGAGACCAGCCCGGGAAACATAGCGAGACCTCATCTATACCACAAACAAACAGACAAATAAAAAAAAACCCAAACAATTAGCCAGGCATGGTGGCTCAGGCCTGTAGTCACAGCTACTTGGGAGATGGAGGCAGTAGGATTACTTGAGCCCAGGAGGTCAAGGCTGGAGTATGCCATGATCACACCACTACACTCCAGCCAGGGGACAGAGCAAGACTTTATCAGAGAAAAACAAAATGAAGAAACAAAAACAAAACAAACCAAAAACCAAAAAAGGGCAGGGGTAGGCAGGCGTGGGGACAAGAAGTGAGCTACCAATAGCACTAATTTATTCAATCCATAGAATTTTGTCCTTAGATGATCTTTTGAAACAAAATATTTGAAAAGATGTGTTCCAAATGATATCAATGTCCATGCAGGTTTTAAAGACATTTTTAAATGATTGGACCAAAATTATGACTGCCTTCTTATATTTTAGTATGCATTATCTATACAATAGTTCAAAGCTGGGACCAGAAAGTAATTATTCTCTATCTTGACTTTGGTCTTTCTCTTATTTGGGCTTCAATTTTCTCATCTGGAAAATGAAGGTTGGATGAGTACATTTTCTAAGATCTATTTCTAACGGAGTTGAATGAAAAAGAAAAAAAAATGTAGGATCTTTGATAACTGGAATAAAAGGAGGCAAAAGCTTTGACTGACACAGATTTGGGTTTGAATCTCAGATATTATTAGTTGCAGGTTAGATTTTATTTTATTTAGCTACAAAGTGTAACTAATTAGGGGCTATACCTGTTGGAGTTTAAATGGGAAGAATCCTATAATGTTCCCAGCATAATGTGTACGCATATTGTATGCACTTAGAAATGGCAGGACCTCATTAAGGTCAGAAAATCATAAGGATAAGCACATGACTCAATCTAGTAATTTCCACTCTGGCACTTGGAGGAGAAAGAAAGTGAGCATATCACTGTCCCTTACCAGCAGAGATGTCCCTCTGCTGTGATGAAACTGGAGCTGTCATGATTTATAAAAAGAACACCATCAGGGCAAAGGCGCCACATCTTGGCAAAAAATGCTTCACATAGTTTCCATCATCACCAAGCTCTCCCTCCCACCCCACACCCTGCTTCTATTTAAATCCCAGGCACTCTACTAGGCCACACTCATTTTAGCCAGTGCCCAGGCTATCAGAGGAGAAAAGACAGGTGGGTAGCATGGCTCCAGGCGAAAAGGAAAGGGAGGAGGGCCCAGCCAAGAGTGCCCTCCGGAAGATACGCACAGCCACCCTTGTCATCAACTTGGCCCGAGGTTGGCAGCAGTGGGCAAATGAGAACAGCACCAGGCAGGCCCAGGAGCCTTCAGGCTGGCTGCCGGGAGGGACCCAGGACCCACCCCAAGCTCCTAAACCAATCACATGCCCTACTCCACACCAGAAAGCTCAGAGTGCCCCAAAGTCGCCACCCCAAACACCGGAAGGACATGGAGATGGACAAAGCTCAGAGAAAGCCCCTGAGGTTTCTCACATCAAAAAGAAAGAGGTGACCAAAACGGTGGTCAGCAAGGCTTATGAGAGAGGAGGGGACGTGAGCCACCTCAGCCACAGGTACGAGCGGGATGCTGGTGTGCCTGAACCAGAGAATGACATTGACAGAATCCTCCACAGCCACAGCTCCCCAACACGGAGAAGAAAGTGTGCCAACCTGGTGTCTGAGCTGACCAAGGGCTGGAGAGTGGTGGAACAGGAGGAGCCCACAGGGAGGAGTGACAGCATAGACACAGAGGACAGCGGCTACGGAGGAGAGGGCGAGGAGAGGTCGGAGCAGGATGGAGGACAGGTGGCTGTGGCCAGGATCAAGCGCCCCTTGCCTTCCCAGTAAGTGATCGCATCCTTCCCACTCCCTGTATCGGGATCGCTACTGAGCCCCAACCAACTCTGTAAGTCCAGGCAGCAGGCGAGGTCCTGCCAGAGTTAGAGTGAGTATCTCAAAGACTGGACAGGCAGTGAGTTCTGTTAGAGGAGGCATGTCCCTGAGCTGAAGGTCAGTGCCAACCTTAGACATGGGCCTTTTGGTCAGGGCCTGTGCTATTTTATTTCTCCTTTTTGTTTTGAACTGAACACCCAAGTCTTAGCCTCAACAAAGATGAGGCCATCAGAGAGGGATGCCTGTTTTGAGTGAATTCTTTAAGTCATTTCTATAATGAGTAACACATTGGCTTATTTCTTTAGAGATAAGGGTGGTTTCTGGTAGACTCATTGGGAAAATTTTACCTTGTCCCAACCATCTATGCTATTATCAGGAGATATATCTGCTTCAATAACACCCACGGTATATAGATCTCTATGACACTACGTGAAAACCATTATTATTCACATAGATTTGGTTACTTTGCAACTTTTCAAATTTTCAAAGAGTGTCTTATTTGTAAACAAAGAGAAATAATGAAAATATCTAGATGCTAGATACACATACACACACTCATACACACACTGATGCAAACTGAAACATTTATATAGATAAGAAACATGCTTTTTTTCAAGACAGTAACTCCACATAGTAGAAAGTCAGGATTTCTTATTCCACAGTGCAAGGATATCAAAATATAAGACAAAAGTGTCTGATGTTATTACTTACATAGACTGACTCCCATTGGGAACAGTTCAATGTACAAGTGTGTTTTTGAAGTCTTATGAAACAATAAGAAAATAAAGAAAAAATAATGGTTACCTAATTTGACAAAAAGCTGTCCTTTTTTTTTTTTTTTTTTTTTTTTTTTTTTTTTTTTTTGAGATGAAGGCTCACTCTGTTGCCCAGGCTGGAGTGCAATGGCACAATCTTGGCTCACTGCAACCTCCGCTTCCTGAGTTCAAGTGATTCTCTTGCCTCAGCTTCCTGAGTAGCTGGGATTACAGGTGCACGCCACCGTACCCAGCTAATTTTTGTATTTTTAGTAGAGACGAGGTTCACCATGTTGGCCAGGCTGGTCTAGAACTCTTGACCTCAGGTGATCCACCCACCTTGGCCTTGCAAAATGCTGGGATTACTGGTGTGAGCCACTACACCCGGCCTAAAGAGCTATCTTACAGTTTGAGACTGTAAAGGTGTTTTGAAAGAATTAGAGCTACTACAGTACAAGCTTTCAAGAAAAATAAAATGGCAAATGGGTAATTACAATAATCTGTCACGTGTTTAGTGTGTGCTATATGTGTTTAAATGCTTTGTCTCTTCACCTCTTATAATCTGCTGAGGTAGCTATTCACTCATTTCAGGAATAAAAACACTGAAGCTCAGAGGGGAAGTTTGCCCAGCAAGTTAATGACAAAGTTAAGATTTGCCCTACCCCAAATGCAAGTTAATAACAAAGCTAAGACCTGCCCTACTCCAAATGCAATGTTTTAAAACCAGACATGGTGCTAACTCTCATGCAGTGTCTTGAGGATGCATTCAGAGGTCTAGATTTGTGCTTAAGTTAATATAGGAGTTCATGATCAGAAGCAACTATGCTATCAGAACATGAGGAACAACATTCCAGATTCTGACCTTGTGGATTTTGGGACATATGTGCCACAAATGGAGTAATGGAGTACAAAAGAATAAAGCCTGAGGGGGCACAATAACAAGATCTTTCTTTCAGCACATTTTAAATTAACCAGAGGTAGGGAGGTGACAGCTGGGACCGATCCTGAATGCATAGTAGAGCTAGACATTCTTGGGTACTTGTCTAAGCACGTTTCATATATTTATTTATTTACTCCCACAATATGTGCATATGATAGGTTATAATTATCATCGCCGTTTGCTAGATGGAGACATGAGATGAAGAAATATTAGGGAATTTGTATGAGATTTTATAGTCCATGAGATTTGAACTCAGTCATTCTGGCTCTGAGTAAACTGTCTCACCTAAAAGTGGGGAGTGGGATATAGGACCCTTCTCAGGGTTCCCCAAATCAATCTGGTATATGGGCACCTTCTTAGCATATTGAAATGCCTACGCGTTGAATGAGCGACAATTTGATTTGAATCATGGTTACTTTGGTAATCCTGAGTCTCTGCATACTCATCTAAAAAACAGATGTGGATATCTGATAGTTCACAGGGTTATTTTTTTATTTTATTTTTTGAGACGAAGTCTTGCACTGTCACCTGGGCTTGAGTGCCGTGGTACTATCTTGGCTTACTACAACCTCCACCTCCCAGGTTCAAGCGATTCTCCTGCCTCAGCCTCCCAAGTAGTTGGGATTACAGTTGCCTACCACCACACCCAGCTAATTTCTTTATTTTTAGTAGAGATGGGGTTTCACTATGTTGGCCAGGCAGGTTTCAAACTCCTGACTTCATGATTGGCCCACCTCGGCCTCCCAAAGTGCTGGGTTTACAGGAGTAAGCCACCGCACCTGGCCTTCATGGGGTTATTTTTATATTACCTATATAAAGTGATAGACTCAGAGGAGTTAGTAAGTTGTACTCATTATAATGCAGGGAGCCAGGGCCGGTGATCCTAGCCCTTTAAGATGCTAGGAGCTTGGCTCTGTAGGTTCAGTGGCAGTGGTGGCTAAATCTCTTCTTTCCTTCTTTGGTTCCTTCCCCTCAGTCTTGGAGTACGTAGGGTACCAGAATGTTGTATGCAGCAACAGCAGCTCTTAATTCCAGTGTTAATCCTAGCTGTGCTCAGGAAACTTCAGCAGAAGCCTCATGGGAATTTTTGACCAATGAGACTCTCAAATATTGCTTGAGAAATGAAAGCAGCATTACTAAGCCAATTTGGAAAGACTTTTTGTTCACTTATTTTTAATTATAGGCACCATTCGCTCCCTGTATCTGCCAATAAGGAGACAATTATGTATCACAGATATTTAGGTGGAAAGTTTCTTGGTGGTGAAGATGTTCCACGGATAATAGAAACAAACAGATCAACTGGGAAAACAGTAGATAAATTCTTTACCAACAGTGGTTTTCTAACTGGGGTTTTACTATAAAAATGGTTTATATTTTGTCTCACCTTATAAATATTTAGTCTTTTGATTGTGTGTGACTTCTTCAATCCAGTTCCTTTGGACAAAAGAAATTAGATCTCTCTCCCATAAAAGGGCAAGACTAACATACCAACCAATCACTTATCCATCCTGTTCCCCATTTTTTATTCAGTGAAAATAATAGCAGTTGAGCAGTAGACTGCCATTTTATAAATAAGGAAACTGGCACAAAGAGAAATTAAGAAACGAATAATCCAAGTCACAGAACGAGGAAGTGATGAAGCTGGGAAGGCTAATGCCAGTGCTTTTGTTCTTAACCACTGTGCTAGACTGTCTCTCTCAGTAGAGAATAGACTCAAGAAATAAAGTGGAGATCAAAATATTGGCTTAATTAATAAAATCCCAGTAACTCCCAAAGTTCAGGGGTTTGGTGCAACTGTATTGAAGGACTTCACAAGAAACAAAGGCGAAATTATGCTGTCCTTCTGCCTATGCCCAATTCTAGGGTCACGAACCCTTTCCATAGACTCTGAAGACAGTTCGGTCTGCAAGGAGAATCGCAGGCCTGGCTCCCAAACGGAGCTGATAACTACAGACAACAAAGCTGCCAAGCAGAAATGTCCATGTTGCCTTTTGAATGCTGTCACCCTGCTTCTGATAAATGTGCTCCTCTTGATGTCATGCTCTCAGTAATCAAATGGGCTAAACTGTCTGCAGGGAAGGACAAGCAAACCAATGCAGCATTGCTCTGAGAGATCCGCAAGGGTGCAGACGTTCTCTGCTTTACTGACGGGAGGGTGCCTCTGTGAGGAGGCGAAACGCTCCCTCTATGGAGCATCTATGGAGTTGGAAATAAGAGCCCATCTTCACTTTCTCCATACAGATTGGAGACAGAAAACCTCTAGGCCCCCAGGCATTTTGAAGCTAGTGATTCAGGTGAAGGGCAACCACCAGAAAATGTTTTCAGTGCCAGTCAACTTATTGGATTTGAAATATATCTTTTCGAACTCTTATTTCCTGTGGATTTTATTACATATATGATAATTTACCCATATAATTATTACTCCAAAACACAGAATTATGGTAACATTGGTTCCCATCGTCTTCTCATGCTGAAGAGCCTCACTGAGATAAAAAATAAATTTCAGAGTTTATTTCAGTAAATGAAGCTAGACTTTCCTAGATAGATTACTTGTAATGTCTAGTAGAATTAGTTACGTTGAACATAGCAGGACAGGGGATAAATTTTTATTGACTATAAGAAATTTTATCTACTAATAATGAAGAAACTGAGAAGATGGGTCTGGATTTAGTATTGCTATCCTAAAATATGGGCAAGATGTTAAGTCTTTAAATATTGCTTTGCTTTCTTTCAATTTATGCTAGGTTATCTTTCTAAAGCTCAGTCTAAACTATCGTTCATATTTTTCCCTGAAAAATTTAAAAACAACATGATCTGGTATTGATTCTTATAGTATTTGTTGAACAACAACAAAAAATTCAGTGTATAAGACTTTCTAAACCTGACTTAAACACAATATACTTTCAGACCTTTTAAAAATTGGAGATATAAAAACAATACAGAATGTTTATAAAATAGAGAAAATTAGATGCTATTGAGATGAATTTCCTTCTTTTTTTTCTAGCCGTATTTTCTAATTCTTCCTTATAAGACCAACTTTCTTTGGTTTTCTTCCCTCCAATTAGAGGGTGTTACAGTTTGAAAATATAACAAATAGACATTAATATAAATGGTGCTTCTTTTAGAAGATATGTATACCATATATATGTGTGTGTGTGTGTGTGTGTGTGTGTGTGTGTGTGTGCATATATATATATACGGAGTCTCGCTCTGTCACCCAGCCTGGAGTACAGTGTAGTGGCACCGTCTCGGTTCACTACAACCTCTGCCTAACAGGTTCAAGAGATTCTTCTTCGTCAGCCTCCTGAGTAGCTGGGACCAGTAGTTGCGCCACCACACCAACTAATTTTGTATTTTTAGTAGAGACGGGGTTTCACCATGATAGCCAGGCTGGTCTCAAACTCCTGGCCTCAAGTGATCTACCTATCTCAACCTCCCAAAGTGCTGGGATTACAAGAGTGAACCACTGTGCCTGGACTAGAAGCTCTTCACAGATTTATTAGTACACACTAATCCCAGCTCTTATTCCAAATGACACTGAGTTTCAGCAGTTAGGGAATCTAAGTTGCTAATTAAAAATTAGAAGGAAAAAAAGCCTACATCAAAGACTCAGAGTCCCATGTAACATATAGTTTAAATAAATTACCTCTGGATGCAATTTGAGTATTTGCTTTTTTTTTTTTTTTTTTTTTTTTTGCTTTCTTTGTTACAAAATCAATATAATAGCAACATTAAAGAGAATTTTGAAAAATGTAAAGTACTGTTACCTGGATACCAACATAATTATTTTCAATTGTGCAAATGGTATTGAATGCTTCAGCGTGGTGCTTATGCATTTTACAGAGTTGTGATTATACCATAAACCCAAATTTGTATTACCCTGTTTTCATTATGAAATATCCAATAGGTACCTTAAAAAGTGGCTGACACACAGTAGGTATCATAAATAAATAATTCAAACCATGGGAGGGACGTAAAAGTGCCCAAAAACTCTTTAAAGGCAGGATGTATTAGGATTTACACAATAGGGCAGAACCACATTTGGTGCTCAGGAGACAAAGAATGAGTTAACAAAGGACACTACTCACTTGCATTTGAGACACTTCAGCTGTTAAGTCTGGCAAGAAATTTAGGCTCTGCCACGATGGCCATGGACTCAATATTGAAGAATATGCCTTTGATCAGCATGGTGATCAGTCATTGATCTCGGTGAGCCGAGATCCTGCCACTGCACTCCAGCTTGGCGCCTGACGACAGAGTGAGACTCTGTTTAATAATAATAATAATAATAATAATAATAATAATATCGAGCAGCCCACACTCAGGGCAGCTGAACAGGGAAAGCTGATGGAGAGGCAGAGGATCAACTGAGGCGGGATGAGGGAAATCCATTACACTTCAGCCTGGTGAGCTCCTGGCACTTTTTTTTACATATAGTTTATAAAGTTGTAATGATTGTGAATACGGTTGTGATGTGCTGTTTTTTACTAATTAACTTTGTCATACACTTTTATCTATATATGTATAAAGGATAGTAGTGTTATATGTAGTATTTCCAATTCCAATTCTATTGTCCTATGAAACAATGTAGCAAGCATAGGACTTTGGGAAACACCAAGCATAAGAATTAATGAAAGTTCGCCATCTAGTGGATGCCATTTGGTTTTTGAAAAGAATCTAAGGTTGTAACCACCCTGTCCATACCTGTTTGGTTCCAGCTTTTGGGGAACCAGATTTCAGGAAGTGAGTTTGGATGGTGAGGGACACCCAAATCTGGCTCCTGGATTCTGAATAGTAAATTGTGAGTTCGGATAGCTCAGGCATGCCATTCACACAAGCACTTTCAGCACAACTTGAACATCTCCAATCCCAATGCTTCCAGGAATAAGGCCATTTGGTGCTGGGGAGAAAAAGGGAGGGTGGGACACTTGCAAGAGTGAAGAGTACAAATCTCTTTGAGAGAGTCCAAGAGTTTGTGTTTTACCTGTGAAGGCAAAGAGACTGAGGGAAAAAGTCTAGGTAACTGGATGGAGTCTTTTGAAGTTCTGGGATACACATGCAGGATGTGCAGGTTTTACTGCATAAGAAAATGTGTGTCATGGTGGTTTGCTACCCCTATTAACCTGTCATCTAGATATTAGGCCCCACATGCATTAGCTATTTATCCTGATGCTCTCCCTTCCCCCAACCTCCCAACAGGCCCCTGTGTATGTTGTTCCCCTCCCTGTGTCCATGTGTTCTCATTGTTCAGCTCCCATTTACAAGTGAGAACACGTGGCATTTCGTTTTCTGTTCCTGTGTTAGTTTGCTGCCCCATCCTAGTATTAGGCTGCATTCTCATGATACTACTACACTTTCCAGAGTTGGTTTTTTATATAAGAAAATGCATTCTGAATTCCAAGGATACATACATTTAAAATGCAACATATTCCTTTATTAGATACCGTATGGGCCTGCTGAGTGGCAACATTGCATAGTAGAAAAAGCATTGTCCTTCATCTCAGGCAGTCTTGCATTTGAATCCTTCCCCTGCCACCTATTTAGGGAAGTATTTCATAGTTATAGACAGGCTCTGGAGCCAGCTTACCTTTGGTTCAAAGTCTAGTTCTGCCACTTAATGGTTTTGTGACTTTAAGCAGTTACTTCATCTCTCTGGCCTCAATTTCTTCATTTGTGAAGTAGGAATTACTATCTTAGGGAATGGTTGTAGGGAATATTAATAAAAAGTTTTTAGAAGAATGTCAGTACATAGTGTTCAGTAAATGTTACTATTGCTAGTGTTTTCTGTCTGTACAACTTAATATTTCAAAGTTTCTAGTAGATTATTGATACTAGTCTATATATGCTATGATTGAAAAATCTACATATGAAAATCTGTATGACTACAAAAAAAAATATATGTATAGTGGCATAGTCCTTACCTGTGGGAAATAATTGGTTTCAGAGGTCCTCTAAGAACAACTAGGTTCCCAAGAAAACCTACACAATTCCAGTTCTAAAATGTTACTAATACTCAACTGTAAAATATACACATTTGTATTAATTCTGTGTGGGGTTTTTTCTTAAAAGAGTTTAATATAACTATAATGCTTAAAATATTGTTCAGAGAAAACAATCTAGAAACTAGGTACCAAACTAAGAACGATGGTGGGACTATGTATGACTTTTCTTCTTTCATTTCTAATTTTTTATATTATCTTTTGTAGTGAAAAAATTATACTTATGTTAAAAGATGCGTATACCTGGGAAGTACAAAGGGAAAACAACATTTAGTCTTAAACTATCTGTATCTTGATTGTTCACCCTCTCTCTACTTTAGGGTAAACAGATTTACAGAGAAACTCAACTGCAAAGCCCAACAGAAATATAGCCAAGTGGGCAACTTGAAAGGGAGATGGCAGCAATGGGCTGATGAACACATACAATCCCAGAAGCTCAATCCTTTCAGTGAAGAGTTTGATTATGAGCTGGCCATGTCCACCCGCCTACACAAAGGTGACGAGGGCTATGGCCGCCCCAAGGAAGGAACCAAAACCGCTGAAAGGGCCAAGCGCGCTGAGGAGCACATCTACAGGGAAATCATGGACATGTGCTTCATTATCCGCACGATGGCTCGCCACAGACGAGACGGCAAGATCCAGGTCACATTTGGAGATCTCTTTGACAGATATGTTCGTATTTCAGATAAAGTAGTGGGCATTCTCATGCGTGCCAGGAAGCACGGACTAGTAGACTTTGAAGGAGAGATGCTATGGCAAGGCCGAGATGACCATGTTGTGATTACACTACTCAAGTGAACCTTCAGAAACAAAAGCCAAATTTGGCCCACTGTTGTCTTAATGCTAAATGCTCATGTGTGTAAAAAGAAAATGCAAACTCTCTGTAATAAGTTAGTAAATATTAAACAATTTTTACATAAGTGACTTTCTTGCATTCTATTTCTAGAATGAGGAAGTTTGGGGATTCTGAGAAAGCATACACAAAGCATTTCAGAAAGCACATGTTATTAACATAATAATAGTATTAATGGTTGAAATTCCACAGGTTTTTTTTTTTTTTTTTTTTTTTTTTTTTTTTGAGACAGGTTCTCTGTATGTCACTAAAGCTGGTCTTTTAACTCCTGGCCTCAAGCGATCCTCTCACCTCAGACTCTCAAGTAGCTGAGATTACAGGCATGAGCCACAGTCCCCAGCTACTTATATTTTTAGGCAAAATATTTAGCTATTCATTGCAGAAACTATGACAGATTTTTAATTAAATGTTAAATCTAAGAATAATGCTGATTTTAGATACATTATCAGCAGAACATATAATAATGTGTCTTTATTTGGAAAAAAGAAAATTCCATTAAGTTTGTTAAAACTAAACAAAAGTTTTTCAGAAGCTCGACTTTGTATTATTGTGTATATCATAGCATCACTTACAAAACAGGCACATATATAAAAAGTTAAGTTGTGAATATATTGCTGAAATTGTTGAAGTTCCTCTGTGGGCTTGTATTCTAACAGGTTTCCAGTAAGAGTTCACCTTCTTTCTGTGTGATTTGAGCAAATCACATAAAAACAGTCAGTAGTTGTCTTAGCACCAAGAAAGAAGGCAACCTTCACTAAAAGTAGAGCAGAGGTGAGAGATTCAGTTTTACTTGCCTTTGTAGGATTTCTTGGAGAAGTTTACTGTTTCATTACAAATCATTTGTATGTCAGCATATAAATGAGTCATGCTCTTGCATTTATATCAATGCACAATGGAGAAATACAGAAAATCTATGAAGTGGAATGTTCAGTATTAGACAAAGCCCATAGAGTCACTGGTGAAATTAAAAACTGATTTGAGACAATTTAATTTTCCTCATACTGTAACAAAGAAAACTTTATGGAATGTCCAAAAGTCATAAAACAGCTATATTAGTTCTGCCAAAGTAAAAAATAAATAGTTACTATGATGGCAAGGAGAAAAATCATCTGACATAAATGTGTTGTCTATTTTTTTCCTTAATAGATGTAATGTGTCTATATGATCTTAAAAACAAATGGAATGGAATGTGAGACTGCAATTCTTACTGAATTCAATGAAAGTTACTAAATGCATTGACAGTATAGCACTTTGGTGTTAAATGTAAAAGTTAAAGTCAAAATATGATACCTCAAAATAATAGGTATTATTGTGCTGTAAGAATTATGTTTGTTTTCATGCATAATTCTCCTTCAAACTGAAGGTTCTGATATTAAGAAAGTATGTGTATTTTTTCCCATACCATATTTATAAAGCTACAAATTAATGATCAATATTTCTAAGTAGGATTTCATATAAGATGCACATTTCTATTACAAGTGAAACCTATGCCAAAATTTAAAGACAAATAGCATAAGAATAAAAGATGTTTTCTTATATTTTCTGTTCTTGTTTTTATAGTATTTATGGGTTATATTCCACAAACACTTTCTTCTGTTCGAAATACAATAAAATTATAGTGTGTAACTTAGGTTACAGTATCAGTAGAATATTTAAAATAGATGAAGCTTTTGAGAGTCTCTTCATATTCAATTCTGAATAGTAACAATTTATGCAGGCACAGACAAAGATTATTCCAAGTTCAATTTGTTTGAGTGTGAGAATGGGATAAAAGGCCTCTTTTCAGACAGCCTCTAAGACATTAACTAACACTCTTCTGCATAAAGTCTTGCTGTAGAATCAGAAAGCTGCATTCCTTAGATAAAAACACCTGCTGAGAAACAGGCACACTTTCATAAGCACTTGGTGAGATAGACATCATCATAAGAGGTGTCTTGTGATACTAGCTAGTGGTCGGTAGACTTTCTTCTTTATTGTGTATTATTCTTTTGATGTTTTATTTAAGGCCATTTTTCATCTTAATGTTTCCTAAACTGGGATCCAAAAATATCTCCTCAACCAAATGATTATTATCCTAAAAACTCCATGACAGGAATATCCACAGTTGAAAAACTTAGGATATTTTGACAAAAAATTAAAATAAAAAATAAAAGAACCCAGGTGGAAATGAGGTAATGAAAATCCTCATATTTTTATAGTCACCAAATAATACAAAAAATCATATATTTTTATCACTGATAATTCTAAATTCTCAATAACAGACAATATACAATTAATTTCTCAATCTTCAGTATTTTCCTTTTCCAAACTTTTCAATCTAGATGTTCGGAGGGTTTCCGTGCTGTACTTTATTACCCCTTTTAGCTCATAACTTGAAGTTGTGTAAGCTCACCTCATCACTCTGCCCACTTACACTACAAGGAGGGAAGTTCTAAGCGTGGGCTTCTTTGTTCCCACACTGTTGCAAGATGAGGCTGCATCTCTATTCTTGGTTTGCCTTCTGCTTTTTCCTTTCCCTTCCCAAGCTCTACTTCCTTCTTTTCCTAATCACTACTAACTGATAAAATGTAAGAATACCCAGTGCTGTTTCTCATATGATATAGAAACAATTCTTTGTAAACTAGCATTGTATGTCAATGGGAACTCAAACACTGGAAAAGATGGTTGTACCTTCTCTATTAAATCACTGTTCAGGGCTTACAAGAGGAGCAGGAGACCATCAAGTCCATAATGAAGTGACCCCTTAATATAGATGCCCCCAGGATTCCTATTAGAACATTCTAATTTCACTCACAGTACCTAGGATATATTTTTAGTATAAGAAGCACACAGTCAATTTCTGTTACTTAATTTAAAAATGTGCTCTATGGGCAGGTCTCTGTTGAGCCGCGGACGCGGGTCTCTGTTCTGCAGGATGGGGTTTGTTAAAGTTGTTAAGAATAAGGCCTACTTTAAGAGATACCAAGTGAAATTTAGAAGACGATGAGAGGGTAAAACTGATTACTATGCTTGGAAACGCTTGGTGATACAGGATAAAAATAAATACAACACACCCAAATATAGGATGATAGTTCGTGTAACAAACAGAGATATCATTTGTCAGATTGCTTATGCCCGTATAGAGGGGGATATGATGGTCTGCGCAGCATATACACATGAACTGCCGAAATACGGTGTGAAGGTTGGCCTGACAAATTACGCTGCAGCTTATTGTACTGGCTTGCTGCTGGCCTGCAGGCTTCTCAATAGGTTTGGAATGGACAAGATCTATGAAGGCCAAATGGAGGTGACTGGTGATAAATACAATGTGGAAAGCACTGATGATCAGCCAGGTGCCTTTACCTATTTGGATGCAGGCCTTGCCAGAACTGCCACTGGCAATAAAGTTTTTGGTGCCCTGAAGGGAGCTGTGGATGGAGGCTTGTCTATCCCTCATAGTACCAAGCGATTCCCTGGTTATGATTCTGAAAGCAAGGAATTTAATGCAGAAGTACACTGGAAGCACATCATGGGCCAGAATGTTGCAGATTACATGCGCTACTTAATGGAAGAAGATGACGATGCTTATAAGAAACAGTTCTCTCGATACATACAGAACAGCGTTAACTCCAGACATGATGGAGGAGATGTATAAGAAAGCTCATGCTGCTGTACAAGAGAATCCAGTCTATGAAAAGAAGCCCAAGAAAGAAGTTAAGAAGAAGAGGTGGAACCGCCCCAAAATGTCCCTTGCTCAGAAGAAAGATCGGGTAGCTCAAAAGAAGGCAAGCTTCCTCAGAGCTCAGGAGCGGGCTGCTGAGAGCTAAACCAAACAATTTTCTATAAGGATTTTTCAGATAGACAATAAACCTATGGACAGCAATTAAAAAAAAATGTGCTCTATGACCTAACCTCTTAGCCTAGAGGTTTTGAGAGTACTGTGATCCATTCACCAGCTATCATTTCCATAAGAATTATCTAATGATACTGTGTGCCCACATTTGGGGGCCATGCAGTATCTAACAAAATTACATTGCATTTACTTATTTATTTATTTATTTATTTATTTATTTATTTATTTATTTATTTGTGTGTGTGTGTGTGTGTGTGTGTGTGTGTGTGTGTGAGAGAGAGAGAGAGAGAGAGAGAGAGAGAGAGAGAGAGACAGAGTTTCGCTCTTGTTACCCAAGCTGGAGTGCAATGGCGCGATCTCGGCTCACCGCAACCTCTGCCTCCTGGGTTCAGGCAGTTCTCCTGCCTCAGCCTCCTGAGTAGCTGGGATTACAGGCACACACCACCAGGCCCAGCTAATTTTTGTATTTTTAGTAGAGACGGGGTTTCACCATGTTAACCAGGATGGTCTCGATCTCTTGACTTCGTGGTCCACCCGCCTCGGCCTCCCAAAGTGCTGGGATTACAGGCGTGAGCCACCGCGCCTGGCCTTTTTTTTTTTTTTTTTTTTTTTTTTTTTGAGATGGAATTTTGCTCATTGCCCAAGCTGGAGTGCAATGGTGTGATCTCGGCTCACTGCAATCTCCACCTCCTAAGTTCCAGTGATTTTCCTGTCTCAGCCTCCCAAGTGGCTGGGATTACAGGCATGCGCCACCGCACCCAGCTAATTTTTGTATTGTTAGAAGAGACGGGGTTTCTCCACGTTGGTCAGGCTGATCTTTAACTTCCAAACTCTGGTGATCTGCCAGCCTCAGCCTCCCAAAGTGCTAGAATTACAGGTGTAAGGCACCGCACCCAGTCGCATTTACTTTTGGACCAATAAATCTCGCTCCTAAATTTTCCATGGGAGATACAATTCAAGCAACATAAAAATATATATGCATAATGCATTGTGCCTTTTTAACCTAAAATACTATAAACAACCTAAAACATACAGGAAATGATCAAATCAAGTATGGTATACCACACAATACATGCAACTATAAAAGAAAATCTTTTAAGAAGTGAAATAGAATTTTCGGTGCCCATATATGGGTATATATACATAATACACAAAATCTTTTCTTTTTTTTTTTTTTTTAAGACAGTCTTGCTCTTTCGCCAGGCTGGAGCACAGTGGCATGACCTCGGCTCACTGCAACCTCTGTCTCCTGGATTCAAGCGATTCCCCTGCCTTAGCCTCCTGAGTAGCTGGGACTACAGGCACATGCCACCATGCCCGGCTAATTTTTTGTATTATAGTAGAAAGGGGGTTTCACCATGGCCAGGATGGTCTCAATCTCCTGACCTCATGATCCACCCGCCTTGGCTTCCCAAGTGCTGGGATTATTTTGAGCCACCACACCCGGCCCATATACACGAAATCTTATACATACACACATACACACTGTAATATATATGTGTGAATGTTTACAACATTTATATATACACTCTATATTTTAAAAATGGAGGGTAACCAGAAATAAAATCAACTTCCTCTAGGGGTAGGTGAAAACTAAGTTGAAAGACACACAAGAGGGATATACTTCTCAGAGTATACCTCTTTATAGGGTTTTGACTTTTGGAAATGTAATTATTATACATGCAATAAAGCAAAATTCAATAAAAGTAGGAGAAAAAATAAAATTGGAAACGAAGCAAATAAATTGAATTCTATTTTATATTACTAAAATAATCACATAGGAAGAAAAAAGAAGTGTGCCTAACTTTTGAATACTTTTTGATTAAATACTTTATCTAAAGGTACAAAAGAACTACAAAGAAATATCAAATTCTACTTAATTTTGGTGTTTGTGAGAGTATAGGCATGGCAATTCTGAAATGATAAGGTCTGTATTATAAAATTAAGCAAGCAAGTAAATATACTGATATCCTTACTGTGCGAGAAGAGACAAACATGGCATGAGGAAACATCAACAAGAACTCCGTGATGTGAGACTGGAAGGAGTGGTATCGGTGGAATTCATGCTGTATTTATTTGTCTCCTGCAAGGCCCTAAAGCAATACCACCCTAGTAGCAACAAGTGTCCTGATTTCAAAATATGCTTCTCCTGCAAAGAAAATATGGTTCCTTTCAGAAATGGCAGATTCTAGAATTGGTACAGAAAGCACAGATAAATCTAAAACATTTTTGTTACATGAGGATTAAGCAAATGCTCAAGAAAATCGAAAAACTCACAGAAGTAAGACTGATGGGATATCCCCCCTGGTTATGTCTAGTATAGAAATTGATTATATAACCTTTTGAATTAAAAAAAGATAATTCATTAGTTCATACTGATAATACTGATAATACATATTCATAAATGGAAAAAGGAAAGCTCTTCCTTAAAATAAATGGCAATGGCAACTGATGTGTTTGGAATTAAAGACTTTAAAAATATGCATCTCTCTCTATATAACTAATTACACAAGGAAAACTAGTAGCAAGGGAAAAAAATGATAGACACTATCTAATCAAATATTCAAAGCTCATATCACCAATAAGGGGAAAAACATACATTATGGGAACCCTGATTTGATGCAGAAGACAAAACACTTCTGTGGTTTTCCTATCAAAAATGCGGCCGGGCACGGTGGCTCAA